GGATTTGTTCGTTCTGGATTGTCCCCATTCAAGGTGTCAAATATTATTTTAATTCAAATTTTGCAAATCCCACTCTCCATACAAATTTGAAGTGACATTGACAGTAGCACTGACTGCGTTTTTCCACCAAGCACTGTACGTTGTATACAGTACAGTATACACATACTGTAGTCGGGTGCCACTACTGGGAAATACCTCCTAGGGTAAAAGTTATGGGAGAAACCATTCTTGCATTCCTTCCGCCCAAACGGACAGTATCCGGCACTTCTCATCACGAGACGCACCATGCTTGGCGACACCACGTATAAATAACGCTAGTGTGGCTTGTGATCTGTGTGTTGTGCTTCCAAAATTACATCTACTTGCATCCAAATGCATCCATTGTCCCAGTTTATCCCACTTGGGAATACCTTAAAGTGTGTTAACTTCATTATCAACCTGGTTTATACCCAGTAGAAATCCGATTTTAATGTTCGACAGTCCAAATTAGAATATCAAAATTGATCAGGAATGATAACGTGGGGCACCAGTCATCAGCATCGTTCATTGCTTACTTTGTTCGTCCATTTCTCGTTGACTACAACACATATTGAGGTGATACAAATATCAAAATAACCGCAAGATTCAGCTCATGAATTGAGGTTTAAAGGATATCAATTTCAATAGTAAACACGTGCAGTAAGGATTTTCAAAAGTAGCGTTTTTTGTAGGGCACCAGTCATCGGCACACGTTTTAGACTTGTGTAATGTATTGAATCCTCCACGCTCGAGCTCGCGGGATGCTGTCGTCATATTAGATATCAAAGGAATATGTGTTTAGAATGGGTATTAACTGCTACAGTAACGATTTCTGTATGATCAACACAAAATTGACAGGTCCAACCTCTAATTTATAAGGAGCACTAATTCTTGAAGAACTACTTTTTGACCAATAAGAGTTATTCAGGCATTTCTATTGGCTTAGAACAGTGCCGATGACTGGTGTCTTTGCCGATGACTGGTGCCCTACGTTACTCAATTTTCACTGTTCTTCCGTATAAGTTCTGTACACCTATATCTGATTTCTCCTGAACTTATCTGGTTATAGAGGTTTAGGTGGAGATATGTGGTACAGCAAATACCGTATACTGTAATACGAGTCGGACAGGCAATTCCAGTCAGACACCCACATAACTCTATAAATTACTTACGTAGTATGGGCGAAGGTAAGAAGAAGCTTTCAAAGGTTAAACTCCGCGCCAACGTATGCCCCTAATAACTCGTATATACCCCCAAAGGTACTATAGTATCAATTTATAGAGGAAACACCCTAATTTTCGAAGGTTTTTTACGCGCGCATTTGATAATCGCACCAGCCAACAAGTCTAGGCCATTCATTATCTTTCCATAGCTGACAGTGATCTCAAATCAACCGAGCAGCACCCAAGAGGCCGCCCTGTGTCCAAGACCATTTCGAAGACCGACCAGACCGCCTGACGAAAGAGGTCCTTTTGCTTTGGGACGACTTCTCTGCGCACTTCACAGACGACGTTGTCGCCTACGAAACATCCATCAACGTTTTGTTGGAGCGCATACCTCCTCGGTACACGTGGATCTGCCAGCCGGCGGACGTTGCATGCAACCGGCCGTTGAAGACTCGGCTGCGTCAGAATTGGCTTGACCTAATTCGTCGTCAACTGCGCTCATCGAATGAGCGGGGGTTACCATTCAAACTGCAGCCGCCGTCGCGGGCGACCATCGTGTCGTGGATCGCTGACGTCTGGGAGGAGCTGCTGCCATCTATGATCGTGAATGGTTCCAAGAAGGTCGTCTTGTAGACGGATTACCTTCTGAAGGCATGCCGTCCGAAGCCCAGTTGCCTGAAGGCGTAGTTGATGACGAGGTGTTAAGCGAACTGGTGGCAGCTTGCTCTATCAAGCAGATCATCGACCCTGTCAGTGACATTGACGAGAACGAGGACAATCAAGTCGAATAATAATACTTGGGAATTTGTATTGGCGTCTTGGTCTATTAATTTAAGCAAACTCTCTTCATCTATACTTCTTGTCAAAATTAATTTCTTGTGTAAACTTGTACTTCCTCCGTTCCATAAATCTGGCGACATTTCAAAATCCATTTTGTTTCATAAATCTGACGACATTTCCTTGTGATTGGCTAAAATCATGAATGCAAGATTTTCATTGGCCATTGGACAACATGTGATGTGAGTGATGAACGACTCAGAGAGTAAAGACCGACACTCATATCCGGATAGATGACAGCCTACTCAGATTTTGATAGTCAGATCAAATACAGTAGAACGTTGATCTTTTTGGAATTTCAAAGTCGATTTTGAGAGTCAAAACAGCGTTTCTGCATTCGGATAAAGGCAGATCACTGTCCGACTTGTATTACACTAAACGGGATGACAATACCTGTATAATATAATAATAATTGTACGTAACCGGTAAACCTAGCAATCATTTCCAATCGGAGGTAACGTAGTAGTAGTATATATGTTACGTTACACTACAGTGGCCTGTTCTACGATTAAGTATGTTAAGTTTACTAGGCACCGCTGAGATCAAAGGCACCGAGGGTGGCATGAATGACATCATCCAAAGCACGACTAAACAACTTGTACTGCAGCGATTGGATCGAAGCAAAGAAGCCCAAATCCAACACATTGAGATCTGGGCTGTTTGGTGGCTGGCAGCTAACCACGAAGGACCACTCGTCGGTCGAGACTCACTCATGGTCAGCATCGGTGATGCCTCCGTGTGGTGTCGCATTGTCCTGCTGGAGCACAACGCGCTTGTTGGTGGTAGGGAACTTTGCCTTGATAGCTGGAATGACTCGCGTGATCACATAGTCTCTGTACACCACAGCATCCACGTCACCAACGTTGGCACAATCGTTCCCGCCGGACGGTTACGGAAGTTGCCCACACCAGGTAGGTACTACACGATTGGCCACATGCCAATCTTGCCGTCGAAGTTGGTGCCGCCCTCGTCATCATGTCTAAGGTGCGCAACGGCCGCCAGAACCATGACCTTGGGGATGAAGCGCTTGCTTGACCAGGTGCGTTGCTCAGGCTCTTCACCCTTGGTCAGGTACACCTTGCGGATATTCTTTTCCGCATTGAACCACTTTTCATCAAAGTGTACGACATCCTACATGCTTGCGGCGAATCGCGAGCCGAGAGGACCACAGGGGCGAAACATGCCAGCGGCAAAACGAAAAACACGTTCTGCTTTGTTGTAATTGGACAGCAGAGGGAGCTTGATGCGAGTGTTATGGCGTTAAATCGTTCATGCTTTCAGGGCCAGGTGGAGTGATGCAAGTGGAATGCCAGTGCCTTCCGACATGTTGCGCATTGTCGAGCGTAGCGATTGCGCCAGTTCGCAGAGAGTGCTGGTGACGAAGTCTGGCGTGTATATCGTCGGCCGTTCGACACGACCTGCCTTTAACGATGGCACCAGTGCGTTTGGTTAATAGGTCCTCCAGATACGGGAGAGAGTGGTTCGGTGGATGTTAAGTTGGGAGGCAGTTGAAGCGATTGCTCCGCGAGCAAGCTTGCCCATGGTCGACAGGTGATGTTCTTGGTATAGCAGAGCTCTCCCCCGGTTGGTTGTCGTGCCATGGTTGTCGACGTGTTTAGGTCCCGGAAATTTTAAATCTGAATTCCACATTTTGTATTTTTATTCGGAGACTCGATGGCGTAGTGAAAATTGAGCGCCAAAATTTGCTTTTCCCACTTTTCTGTCAATGGAACTTTACTCTAGATTTTGATTCCTTTTTTTTTAATGTATGATTCATCGAAATTGGACAAGAATTCAATTGGCGCCTAGAAGTCTAATGTCGGCACTAATATGGAACAGAGAAAGTTTTTATTTTTATTTTTAATTAGAGATTAACTATGCTGCCTTCTTTGGGGTGCAAAGTGAACCTCAAGTTGACAAGGAGAACCGGACGATCGCGAGCTTTCGGACGCGGTTCGTGCGACCGAGATTTACGTCAATATATGATGGTACAAAGTAGTTAAAATGAAAGCAGGCACGTTATTAGAGTCGTTATACGAGACTATAGTGAAGCGATATACTAGTATAACAATAGCCAAGACGTTGTGGGTTCACGGTGTCGCAGGAAAAAAAGACGTCCCTGATGGGACTCGAACCCACAACCTCCTGATTAGAAGTCAGATGCGCTATCCATTGCGCCACAAGGACTTACAACTGCCAGTGGATATCTAGCCATTCATGATATTACTCCATACAAACGAAATCCCGGGGTGGTTCGCTACGCACGTGTCTCGTGCTCCTTGCCAATTATTTGCATGTATCAAGATGTATGGTGTGCTTGCCTGTTGATAAACCAACCAAGCGTTGCAATACCATATGCTGTCGTTGAAGTGTCACCATATTTGGGCGACAAAAATAGTGGGAAAAAGATCGTCCACGACGGGACTCGAACCCGCAACCTCCGGATTAGAAGTCCGAAACGCTAGCCATTGCGCCACGCGGACACGACACACTTAATCCATTAGTACTTTATTAATCATATACCGGCATTTACTACTTCGAAGTTAGTATTGATAGAAGTTACTGTAATATGAAATGGAATAACGCGGTATTTACAAGCTCCTATCGCCCGAGCTCGCGCATGTGGAGCAGCGCTCGCGAACTAGACTAGTCTAGCGGATGGAGCTTGTAACTCCTGTTTAGTATGAATAAAATGCTCCATTATTTGACACTCGTTTACATATTGGCATAAGCAATACGTAGGGGGCAACTGCATCACAGGCAAGGTTGAACGATGTACGTACGTGCCAGTATAAAGCGTTTACAGATCATAAATCTCACGAGGACTTTTTATGCGTGAGTTAACGACATGGAGCGATACGAGCTTGGTCTATTATTCACTACTTGGCGGTGGCGGTTGAGAGTGGTATGGTGGAAGGAGGGCTACGTCAGGGTATTGCGCTGTGATCGCTTGCACTGTCGATTGAATCCACGGCTGGTCGCAGGACACGCTGACCACTTGCACAACGTTTCGCAGCAACTCCAAAGCCACTTCATAATGCACACTCATGTGCCACGTCAGCGCTTGCAGCAACTACACATTGCACATTAACCAAAAACTCGAAAAATAGAAGCGTCGCACCTCGGTCCACACCAGTTCAAAGTCGGAAAGAGTGGCAAGGTCGTCCAAGTGGTGCAAAAACACTTGGACGAGAACTTGCATGCGCCCAAACTCTGCAGTCGTTGCCGTTGCCCCACTACTAGTACTACTAGTAGTAGTAGTACTAGAAGTACGAGTCGAGTCGTTGGTCCGCAAGCGAATCCCCTCACTCAGCGCCGTCCATTCCTTCGACTCGTCATCCGACGTCGTAGTCTTCATGATGCTCGAGTCGTCAGCATGTTCGTCATGCGCGGGTGGAACAAATAACGTCGGCACGTCCACCCCTCGTTCGCTTTGACATCCAAAGCGAAGCACGAGGCTCCACGTCTCGGGGTCCAGTCGGTGGCATGTACCGCTCGACGATGACGAGGAGGACAAAGGGGCTTCCAGCAGACATTGCGCCAGTGCGAGCGTGCTGTTGGCTCGGACGGCGGCGGTGGGATGGCATCGCAGTGCCAGCACCCCCCCCACGATCCAAAGGGCGACCAAGGGCGTGGTCGACTGGTGGTGAAACAGCTGGACGGCGTACTTGAGCGCTTGGGCGGCGGCCGCCGCTTCCGCTTGCACGGGGAAGACGCCCCATGTAAATACCACGTTGATCAACGCTGTCACGTCCAGTTGGTCAGCAACGTCCACCAATAACAATGTACGCATCCACTTGTCAAGCAGTTCCATCACCTCCCTATACACTCGACATCGTAATCATTATTTTTGTTATATATATATATAAATGTATTCAATCCAAGGCTCGGAAATGCCAACCAACCCCATGCCGTCACCCGATAATATATATTGGAGCTGCATTTCAACTATATATTTTCTAACAAATATATATATATATATATATGGTATTTTGTGGACAGAATACAAGGTAACCGATTGGCTAAATACACAACCAGATCGAGCAATATCCCCACTAAACCACGACGCGCGACGATATATTATATATATATATTATAATATATATATATATATACACTCCACACCAACATCACACACACTCTTCACACGACTGAAAGGGGTATAACGCACTTCTATTGTCTTGACCATATGTATCAAACTTGTATTTCTCGCTCTACATATCACTTTATACTATATATATATATGCAAACGCCCCAGATACACTAGTATCATGGTAGTATTTCTTCTCAATTCGACCGCGACATGGAGAGAGTCCTATTGAATCCACCCAACCAAATGTATGTACACTGCATAAAAGGACTCAACCAATCCGATTGCAGGAAAAAACCATCAAACCACGTCAAATTAGTGTATGACTTTTAATTAGTGTGATATCCATCACCACAGGACGACACCCTGTTTCCATACAAACATTCCGTACAAACACACACTCGATTTATTTGGCGATTCGTCAGCACAAAAGGCCAACTACATTACAATACACGATATATATATATATATATATATAGTTGTATCGTTGAACGTACGGAATCCACGCCGGTTGTTGGACAGGTGCAAGGAGCTGCACCCAGTGCACATGCTCCACGTGTGGGGGCATGTTGACCAGTCCCCTGAGCACGGCGTGGGTCACGGGACCGATGAGCACATGGTGATGTAGCTGCAGCAACAAGCCCAACCGCTTCGACTCGCCCAACGTCGTGAGTCCCGTGACCAGGGTATCCACAAGGAACACTGCATTCTCGAACGCCATGTCCTGCACCTGGAGGTTTCCCCTTATGAAAGGGTCGGCGCACGACAGCACGACGTCCGCGTGGCTCCAGAGGCGGTCCGCCGCCATCTCAAGCGACGAAGGCGACGCCTTTCCTAGTACTTGCAGAACCAGCTGCTCCAGGAAGACGGCGCCGCCGGGACTGAGCTTGGGCACCGTGCAGGCTTTGGACTTGGCTGGCGGGAGCACCACGCGTTCGATCTCGGTCCACGCGGCATGGCAAAATGAAACCAGCGATGCGTCGGATAGCGGATGCATGTGCTCGTAGTACAGCGCCAGACGCTTTGCCGCCCACAACGGTAATAACCCATCCCGGTTCTAACCAAAGATGTATATCGATGAGCCTCTGTATAGAGCACTACTGGGAGGTACTTTTTACATATATATATATATATATATATATACTTGGTACTACTACATAGTATTTATATTGTGCTTTTCAGTCAACTTTGCCTATTTTGGGGGATTGATGAAATCGCCAACTAATCGAGCAAATGAGTATGATTGGCTATAAAGAATGAAGGTTGCAATATGATTGGCTAAAATATTGATTGATGCATTGCAGTCACAAAAATACCTCTTCAACTCAGTTTTATATGAAATTTCGAAGGTCCGGCGATTGTTCGGCGGTTGATTCAACCAAGACGTTGTGGGTTCACGGTGTCGCAGGAAAAAAAGACGTCCCTGATGGGACTGATTGGCTAAAATCATGAATGCAAGATTTTCATTGGCCAT